TCTGTTCATCACTTCTGCTCACTTTGAAGCAAAGCTTGCTACTTGCTTATCTCATCGAACGTCACATGGCAAATGAATATTTCTGATAACACTTATGTTGATCACTTTCGCTCACTTTGAAGCAAAGCTTCCTACTTGCTCACCTCATCGAACATCACATGACAAATGAATATTTCTCACCAATGTTCTGTTCATCAGTTTTGCTCACTTTGAAGCAAAGCTTGCTACTTGCTCACCTCATCGAACATCACATGGCAAATGAGTATCTCTCATAACTCTTCTGTTCATCACTTTTGCTCACTTTGAAGGAAAGCTTGCTACTTGCTGACCTCATCGAACATCACATGACAAATGAATATTTCTCACCAATGTTCTGTACATCAGTTTTGCTCACTTTGAAGCAAAGCTTCCTACTTGCTCACCTCATCGAACATAACATGCCAAATGAATATTTCTCATAACTCTTCTATTCATCGCCTTTGCCCACTTTGGAGCAAAGCTTGCTACTTGCTCACTTCATCGAACATCGCATGACAAATGAATATTTCTGAGTAATGTTGTGTTCATCACTTTTGCTCACTTTGAAGCAAAGCTTCCTACTTGCTCACCTCATCGAACATCACATGCCAAATGAATATTTCCCATGAATGCTCTGTTCATCACTTTTGCTGACTTTGAAGCAAAGCTTGCTACTTGCTCACGTCATCGAACGTCACATGGCAAATGAATATTTCTCACGAATGTTCTCTTCATCACTTTTGCTCACTTTGAAGGAAAGCTTACTAGTTGCTCACCTCATCGAACATCACATGCCAAATGAGTATTTCTCATAACTCTTCTGTGCATCAGTTTTGCTCACTTTGAAGGAAAGCTTGCTACTTGCTCACCTCATCGAACATCACATGGCAAATGAATATTTCTCACCAATGTTCTGTTCATCAGTTTTGCTCACTTTGAAGCAAAGCTTGCTACTTGCTCACCTCATCGAACATCACATGGCAAATGAGTATCTCTCATAACTCTTCTGTTCATCACTTTTGCTCACTTTGAAGGAAAGCTTGCTACTTGCTGACCTCATCGAACATCACATGACAAATGAATATTTCTCACCAATGTTCTGTACATCAGTTTTGCTCACTTTGAAGCAAAGCTTGCTACTTGCCCACCTCATCGAAGATCACATGGCAAATGAGTATTTCTCATAACTCTTCTGTTCATCACTTTTGCTCACTTTGAAGCAAAGCTCGCTACTTGGTCACCTCATCGAACATCACATGCTAAATGAATATTTCCGAACAATGTTTTGTTCGTCACTTTTGCTCCCTTTGAAGCAAAGCTTGCTGCTTGCTCACCTCGTCGAACATCACATGACAAATGAATATTTCTCACCAATGTTCTGTTCATCACTTTTGCTCAGTTTGATGCAAAGCTGGCTACTTGCTTACCTCATCGAACGTCACAAGGCAAATGAATATTTCTGATAACACTTATGTTGATCACTTTTGCTCACTTTGAAGCAAAGCTTCCTACTTGCTCACCTCATCGAACATCACATGGCAAATGAATATTTCTCAGCAATGTTCTGTGCATGACTTTTGCTCACTTTGAAGCAAAGCTTCCTACTTGCTCACCTCATCGAACATAACATGCCAAATGAATATTTCTCATAACTCTTCTGTTCATCGCCTTTGCCCACTTTGGAGCAAAGCTGGCTACTTGCTCACCTCATCGAACATCACATGGGAAATGAGTATTTCTCATCAATTTTCTGTGCATCACTTTTGCTCACTAGGAAGGAAAGCTTTGTACTTGCTCACCTCATGGAACATCCCATGGCAAACGAGTGTTTCTTATCAATTTTCTGTTCATCATTTTTACTTACTTTGAGGCAGAGCGTGGTACTTGCTGAACTCATCGAACATCACATGACAAATGAATATTTCTCACCAATGTTCTGTTCATGACTTCTGGTCAGTTTGCTGGAAATGTGAGCGGTTGTTTTGAAGTGAGAAGTGATGTGTTGATGGCATTGCCTGAAGTGCAAGTGGCAAGATTTTATTCCCTTCTTATGTTAATTTTGAATTAGTGAAGACAAATTATGTTCCAATCGATGTTTTTATAGACCGTGAATACGTAGAATCAACTTTGTATTCAAATATTTCACTCATATCAAAGCAGAGATTGTGATTTCGTTTGACAACAGAAGAGCATAAGACAGATAGATAATTTCCAGCAGCATTGAATTCATTTATATCATCATTTAAATCGATGATTTCTAGTCCATATCTTTACAGGAGCTCATAAGGTAATTGAACAGTCAGAACGCACATTCAGTTCACCTTTTTTATTTAGTTCCAGTAGCAGCTTCTATTGAACAGCTCAATTGAATACAATATGGCAAATAAATAAATAATTTCGTATGATCCTATTCAATCTTTTCATGATTTATTATGCTCTTTGCCGTTTTGCCCTGCTGAACAATAATGATACAGTGATAGAATAACTTTGATAACATA